ATGATTTTTGTTTAGCGCGGCGCACCTTGATTTCATTTTTAAAGGATACTAGACTAAGGTTGAAGGGTCATGAACTAATATGTTATTTAAGAAGGCCTTCCTAGAATTATTTTTGAGGGCCTTACTAATTGGCTAAGGTCATAAGGACTAGATGCGGGCTATGAATTTAAAATCTAGTAACTAAATACAAAGACTAAAGTGACACAACTAGTCCTGAAGGAGAGGCCCAATATTTAATATTTGAATCTCTGAAACTGCCTGCGTACAAAACGCCTCCGCTGTAAAGCTAATTAATGTTTTGGGCCTCTAAACAGGCCTATTTCAATCACCTGGGCAGCCTATTTTAATTAACAAGTATAACAATCAATTTGAATTTGTTTATTCTCTTTCAATTTATAGCCCACAAGCCAGATGAGTTAAGAACCAAGTTGGGCCATGCATAAGTAAAATCAGGGCCCAAATTTTATTCAAATAAAAGGCTGTCATGTTTCTGCTCATAAATGAGCCCAAATCAGGCAGTGAATTTAAATTGGATTGCAGAAATACTGAATTAGAATCATAATGAAGCCTAATAATTTTGCAGAATGCATGAACAATTCAACTCCGTTCACATGCTGATTTTAAGCCTAATTTCATGCTCATATTCAAATTGTATGTATCCTGATGAACCACACACACTCATTCTAAGGTTTTTACTTCCAGAACAACATTTAAACTTATACAGCACATTTGCAGAACTTAAAATAATTATTGAACTAAAAATAGACATAATTCCAATTTTAACATCCAAGTCCGTTTAACTAGGCATTTGCGGGTAACACTTGGCTTATATAACACACTAGATTCCAATTTTATCATCCAAACTAACATGATTGCAGGTCCAAAAATGAAATTAAATTATACTAAGCTAATACTACTAAATGAGTCCAACAGTCCAAATATTACATTCGTTAGAGGGTCCGGATCAAGTAATTCCTAGATTCTAATGAAAGCTAAAGGTAACACTTGAATTAACATGTTATGAGTGAATTACAGATAACATAAACGTACTAGGCCACCTAAATCAAAGCAAAACAATAGGAAAACATATAACATTTCATCATTATCCTCAAATTCGATCACACATTTGATTCAACCTTCACAAGTCAGTTGAGGCCAAAGGAGTACCTGAAAATTAGCCCAAAAATAAGAGGAATTGGAGGTCAGATACACAGCAGAGATCAAACGCAGCCCAGAAATGTTCGGCAGCCCAGAAATGTATCAAAACCCAACAGAATGAATATATCTACCCCAGTCAACATCAGGTTCACAATTACTCGAAATCAGACCAATAGACCTTTGAAAAACCAGTAGCCAAACATTGAACTAGAAGATGTGATTTAACAACTAGAGATTGAAATTATCCTAAAGTTTCAATGGAACAGTGCTCTCTTTCTGATTTTCTACTATATTTCTGTTTGTTTTTGGATTATTGAGTAGGAATTCAGATCTAAAAGAAAGTGAAAAACTATAAGATTGCAGATTTTTGAACTTCTAAAATTTGAAATTCAAACTTTGATTCAGATTTCAGGAATGGTTTTGGGGGGAGTTTTTAGAGGCTGAAAACTTGTGAAACAAGGCAATAAGCATGCCTTTGGCAAAACTTAGGGCATCCTTCAGATTTTCATTTACACCTAAGTCCCTCTTTTATTTTCAAATTTTAGCTAATTAGTCCCTTATTTAATGGCTTGTGGCCCAAGTTACACTACTAAGTTCCTAAAATTCTAATTGGAACCCCATCTAGAATGTTCTAGGGAATTCCAATTTGGTTACTTGCAGGATTTCTCTTATTGAATTACCTATATTACCCCTAATTTGACTTAGAACTACTAACCTAGTTAAACTAAAACCAACCCCTGGTTAATTAATCAAGGAGCTGCAGTGATCAGTTATAATCAGAATCAATTCTAATTGAACCAACATCCTAAGGCTAAATTTATTATTAAACTAATAAAACCAGTAAACTAATAGCTAAAATCGAACAAATAGAGCTGCAACTACACTGCGAAGAATATCAAAATCAAAAAAAATGTGCAGTAGTTAAACATGGAATCATACGGTTGAAATCAAATCAAATGACAAAAAAATGTAATCAAAACCAATCAGACCCTAAATCGATCCTAATATAGAAGAAATACAAAAGACGGATGAAAGCACAACAAAATCAGAAGGCTAATGCTTAAAAGGGAACATTTACAGATAAACAAAGAAATTTAAGAACACTCATTGATTAAACTTGAAACTCCTCTTGATGTTCTAATTCACATAAAATGGATGCTAATCACTTATTCTCTGTTAAGAACGAACGAACAGCATCAATTTGTAGTGAATCAACTCCTAAATCGCGAAGAACAAAGGCTTGGGTCGATTAATTGAACTGCTAAAGCTCGAACTCAGATTTACCATTTGAATGATTCTGGATAGTTTCGTAGGAAACTAGTGACATATTAAGAGTGAGGGAGGCACATGGGGCATGGGGTGTTGTTTTGAAGTGGTTTGGAGGCGCCACCGCCACCGGAGAACAAAGTCGGCGGCTAGGGTTCATGACTTCCAACGAAGATTCGAGGGGTTTGGGCGAATTTTGAAGAAAAGTGAACTTAGATTTGGAAGGAGGAGGAGGAGAAGAAAGTATGGTGTGAATTTGGGAGCCATCGGCGTAGTTTGTGTCATCGCCGTCGGCGGAATTGACGGAGAATATAAGGGCGGCTGGCTTCTCTAGGGTATTGAAAGGGGGGATTCAGAGAGACGACGGAGGGGGGTAGGGGCGTCTTTGGAAAATTATATACCTGGGATAGGTGAGTTGCGGTCCGTTGGATCAACAAAAAATAGACGGCTAGGATTTGTTTAAATCAAAACGACGTCGTTTCGATGGCTGGGGAGCCGGACCGGGTCAGGGTGCGTGGGTTTGGGCCTGGGGCTCGGATCAGGGTGATGGGGGTTTAGCTTAGGCTGGTGATTTATTTGAAGACTGGCCCAAGACAGACCTTTTTTTAATTCTTTTGAATCTTTTCCTTTCATTTTCTTTTATTTATTTATTTGTTTTTGATTTTGTTAAATACAAAAATAACAAAAACATGATTTAACTCTAAAATTAAACTAATTAATTTTCTAAAATTAACTAGATCCTAATTTAAAAAGAGAACTAAGCAAAAATGTAAAATGACTATTTTTGTTATTTTTTCTTCTATGTTTGTAATAATAATTAACTAACAAACCTACAAATATAAAATTGGGTTCTAAATGCAAATGTGTTATTTTGGTATTTTTTTTAGATTATGCCAACCAAAAATGCACACAAAAATGCAAACAAAAAAAAATCATGCAATTAATTCCCTAAAATTCAAATAATAAAAGAAAACACCTAATTTTAAGAATTCTATAGGAATATTTCAAGCGAGGCAAAAATCACGTGCTCACAAGCCCTTTTCCTTTCGGGGCCCTGTGTGGCTCATGCCGCCTTCGTTTTGGGATCTTGTCTTGATATTTGTATAAGGTATAGTCGTAGCCTTGTTACCGGCAAGTACTGTATCATCCTTTTTCAATGTTAGAGGCTCCGTAGACAGAAAATGTTGGTCATGAACTAAAGTGATATGTATCTTGTATGTTGGGCTATGTAAAATGTAAACCACGCTAAGAAATCACGTACCGTGTGTATGCTTTGTAATAAAAAGGTGTTTATAATTGTAAATGGTTATTTATTTTGGCCAATAAGTAATGAAAGAATGCGGGGTAACATGTGGGGTAGGAAAGGCACCCAGGTCCACTTGACTGGGGCTACCCGGTCGAGCGCCGGTCATGTCCCTCGAATTTGGGGCGTGACAAACTTGGTATCAGAGCGTAAGGTTTTAATGGAGTCCTAGGGTGTCTTAGAGCCGTGTCTGGTATAGCCCTACTTATCGGTGTGATGTCGACCACATCTATAAGTGGGGGGCTGCATGGACAATTAGGAAATTTCCCACTTCTTTGTCATTCTGTATCGTGTGGTGAAGTGAAATGTGAAAGTATCTATGTCTGATTCGTGCTTTGTTCCGAAATCTTTTCAGTAATGGCACCTAAGAAGAGAGCTAGACTCGGCCTTGGGGCCAATGCCACCCCGAGTGAGGCTGTGAATCATGTACCTGATGCTGTGGGTGAGAGTGACTCCCCGGCCTTGAATCTGCCCGGTCCATCTATTCCAGATCCAAGCATTCCTGTTCCGGCTGCGACAAAAGGTGCCACCATCCCTCCCGCCGATATTTCAGATTCTGATGCAGTTCCAGCTTCCGGTCCCGGTGTTTCTGATGGGGACCTTAGAGGAGACATCCGTATGTCGACCCAGCTAGTGGCCGCCCAGGCCTAGAGATCTCATGATGCCCCGGTGTCCTCCAGCGGACAGGGAGATTCTACCAGCTCCAGAGTCCACCAGTTTCTACGATTGGCCCCTCCAGAATTCTCAGGCACAGACCCAGAGTCCGATCCGCAGGATTTCCGTGATGAGATGTATAAGACCCTTCGAGTGATGAAGGCTACAGAGATACAAGGGGTTGAGTTGGCTCCATACAGGTTTGAGGGGAGCAGCGCGTTCGTGGTTTGAGATGTGGGAGGATTCCCGTGAGGAGGGAAGACCTCCGGCTAGATGGGACGAGTTTGTAGATGCCTTTATGGACCATTTCTTGCCTGCCGAGACAATGGCAGCCCGTGCCACTGAGTTCAAGGTTCTCAAACAGGGCAGCATGAGTGTTTGGGAGTACCACATGGAGTTTGTGAGGTTGTCCAAGTATGCTCCTCAGTTAGTGTCGACCATGGATGCTCGAGTTCGGCGCTTCGTTCAGGGTCTTAGTCCTTTGGTGGTGAATGAGGATGCTACAGCGGCCTTGCACTCAGATATGAATTATGGAAAGATTGTAGGATTCGCTCAGGCCACAGAGGCTAGAAAGTTGAAGATTCGGGCAGAAAGGGAGAGTAGTAGCAGGGCCCGGTCAATGGGCCACTCAGGGAGACCAGTTCCGGGGAGAGGGTCATCAGGGCCATCCCAGTCATATGCTCAGTCCTCAACGAGTGCACCGCCATCTGTGCACAGTTATCAGCAGGGCAGTCATTCGAGACCAGGTTCTGACAGTAGGAGGTCCCGTCAGTCCGGTCGTCCAAGAGTGGGGTCTCAGCAGCGGGGGGGAACTACATGCCCCAAATGTGGGAGATTCCATGCAGAGACTTGCTATTTGGATATCCCGGTATGTTATAGGTGCGGGGTGAGAGGTCACATCCAGTGGGACAGCCGTGTGCCCAGTCAGGGTATGGGTAGGGGATCTGCCCAGTCATCCGGTTCTTCAGTTGCTACATCATCAGTGCATCCTGCAGCTCCAGCAGGGCGCGGTGCAGCTAGGAGTGGAGCTCGTGGTAGGGGTGGACCTAGCCGGTTCTATGCTTTGAGTGGTCGTCAGAGTGCTGAGGCTTCTCCAGATGCTGTTACAGGTATCTTGTCCGTTCAGGCTATTGATTGCTATGCTTTTATTGATTCGGGGTCCTCTTTATCTTATGTCACCCCATTCATTGCTTCAAGTTTTGGGACAGAACCCGAACAGCTTCATGAGCCGTTCTTTGTATCGACTCCGGTTGGTGATTCTATTTCAGCCTCGCGAGTTTATAGGAATTGTGTTGTTACGGTGTGTGTTCGTGTTACCACGGCCGATCTTATTGAGCTTGGAATGGTAGATTTTGATGTAATCATGGGGATGGACTGGCTTTATTCGTGCTTTGCCAAACTTGACTGCCGGACGAGAGTCATGAGACTCGAGTTCCCTAACGAGCCGGTTATCGAGTGGAAAGGAAATGGTGTGGTGCCAAAGGGTAAGTTTATTTCTTACCTTAATGCTTGGAAGATGATAAAGAAGGGGTGTATCTATCACTTGGTCCGGGTGGCGGACACCACCTCAGGAGTGTCTGCCCCCGAGTCCGTGCCAGTTGTGAATGAGTTTCTTGAAGTGTTTCCGGATGAGCTTCCAGGGATTCCGCCAGATAGGGAGATTGATTTCGGGATTGATGTATTGCAAGATACTCAGCCAATATCCATTCCACCATACAGAATGGCGCCAGCAGAGTAAAGGGAGTTAAAGGAGCAGCTGAAGGATTTATTGGAGAAGGGGTTCATACGATCGAATGTGTCGTCGTGGGGTGCTACGGTTCTTTTTGTCAGAAAGAAGGATGGGTCGCTTCGGATGTGCATTGATTATCGGCAGCTTAACAAAGTCACCATCAAGAATAAATATCCTTTGCCTTGAATAGATGATTTGTTCGACCAATTGCAAGGTGCAAAGTTCTTCTCCAAAATTGATTTGCGGTCGGGTATCACCAATTGAAGATCAGAGAGCAGGATATTCCTAAGATTGCTTTCAGAACTCGCTATGGTCACTTTGAATTCTTGGTCATGTCTTTTGGGCTAACCAATGCCCCAACAGCTTTCATGGATCTTATGAATCGGGTTTTCAAGCCATTTCTAGACTCCTTTGTGATTGTTTTCATTGACGACATCCTCGTTTATTCGCGGAGCAGGGAGGATCATACCATTCACCTCAGAGCAGTATTGCAGACTCTTCATCTGCACCAGTTGTACGCTAAGTTTTCAAAATGTGAATTTTGGTTGGAGTCCGTCACTTTTCTAGGTCATGTTGTTTCCAGTAAGGGGATTCAGGTGGACCCCCAGAAGATTGCAGTAGTGAAGGATTGGCCTAGGCCCACGACCCCGACGGAGGTTCGTAGCTTCTTGGGTTTAGCCGGGTACTATCGGAGGTTTGTGGAGAGATTCTCTACCCTCGCCTCCCCATTGACTAAATTGACGCAGAAAGCAGTTAAGTTCCAGTGGTCCGACGCTTGTGAGAAAAGTTTTCAGGAATTGAAGTCAAGGTTGACCTCGGCACCGGTATTGTCTTTTCCAGAAGGCACGGAAGGATTTGTGGTTTATTGTGATGCCTCCAAGGTTGGTTTGGGGTGTGTATTGATGCAGCATGGGAAGGTTATAGCATATGCTTCAAGGCAACTCAAGAATCACGAGAAGAATTACCCGACGCACGATTTGGAGCTTGCAGCAGTTGTATTTGCCTTGAAGATATGGCGGCATTATCTTTATGGGGTCCATTTGGATGTGTTCCCGGACCACAAGAGTCTCCAATATCTATTCAAACAGAAAGAGTTAAATTTGAGGCAGCGGCGGTGGTTAGAATTGCTTAAAGATTATGATATGAACATCTTGTACCATCCAAGAAAGGCGAATGTGGTGGCCGACGCCCTCAGTCGGAAATCCATGGGTAGTTTGGCTCACTTGGGAGCGGATCAGAGGCTCCTGGCCCGGGAGGTTTATCAGTTGGCCAGTCTTGGGGTTTGTATTTCGACCCCGAATGAGGAGGAAATCATGGTGCATAACAGTGCAGAATCGTCGCTGGTAGCAGAAGTCACGAAAAAGCAGTTCATTGACCCAGCATTGGCATAGATAAAGGAGGCAATTCTGAACAACAAAACTTCGGCATTTTCACTCGGCGGCAATGATGGTGTGTTACGATGTCAGGGTAGGCTATGTGTCCCAGATGTGGATGACCTTCGGGAGAGGATAATGGCAGAGGCTCATCATTCCAGGTATTCGGTGCACCCAGGTTCCACGAAGATGTATCACGATCTCAAGGAGATTTATTGGTGGAGCGGTATGAAGAGGGGTGTGGCGGACTTTGTGTCTAAATGTCCAAATTGTCAGCAAGTAAAAGCTGAGCATCAGCGGCCCGGTGGGTTAACCCAGCTTATGGAAATACCAATGTGGAAATGGGAGATGATCAACATGAATTTCGTGGTAGGATTACCTCGCACTCAGCGCAAGTTCGACTCAATTTGGGTGATAGTGGATCGACTCACCAAATCAGCTCACTTCTTGCCAGTCAAGTCTACCGATACCGCAGAACAGTATGCTCGGTTGTACATCAAGGAAATAGTGAGGCTTCATGGTACTCCACTCTCTATTATTTCGGATCGAGGGGCTCAGTTCACAGCTAATTTTTGGAAGAAATTTCAGCAAGGTTTGGGTACTCAGGTGAATCTCAGCACGGCTTTCCATCCGCAGACCGATGGCCAAGCAGAGCGGACTATTCAGACGCTTGAAGACATGTTGCGGGCTTGTGTCTTGGATTTCAAAGGTAATTGGGATGATCACTTGCCCCTTATAGAATTTGCTTACAATAACAGCTTTCATGCTAGCATCCAAATGGCCCCATTTGAGGCATTGTACGGAAGGAGATGCAGATCTCCGATCGGATGGTTCGAAGCAGGTGAAGCAGAATTGATAGGGCCGGATCTCGTGCATCAGGCTATGGAAAAAGTTAAAGTCATTCAGGAAAGGATGAAGACTGCTCAGAGTCGCCAGAAATCCTATGCGGACGTTCGTCGAAGGGGATTGGAGTTCCAAGTAGATGATTGGGTATTCTTGAGGGTGTCTCCTATGAAGGGAGTCATGCGATTTGGGAAGAAAGGGAAGCTGAGTCCTAGATATGTCGGGCCTTATCGGATCATTCAAAGGATCGGGCAAGTTGCTTATAGGCTGGAGTTGCCCCCTGAAATGTCCTTAGTGCACCCGGTGTTCCATGTGTCTATGTTAAGGAAAGTGGTCGGAGATCCGTCCTCCATTGTGCCAGTTGAAGACATCAAGGTTACTGAAGAGTTATCGTATGAAGAAATTCCGGTTGCTATTCTTGATAGGCAAGTCCGTAAATTGCGAAATAAGGAAATTGCTTCAGTTAAAGTGTTGTGGCGAAATCAACAAGTCGAGGAAGCCACGTGGGAAGCGGAAGATGAGATGAAAGAAAAATATCCCCATTTGTTTGAGCAAGTCTAGTAGTGATCGTGCGAATTCTTGTCCCTAAGCGAAATGGTATTGTGTCCCGTTTGGTGCAAAGGCACCCCGTTTCTCCCCTAGATGCATTACTATTGTAATTCTTCAAGTTGTGCCAAAATTATATGTGTTGTGCTTGTTTGAATCATATGCCAACCTTTCTCGGTGAAATTTTGTAAGAACTCTTGTGATAAGTAATTGGCCTGTGGTGGTATAGATTGGTAATAAGTGATTTGCAAGTGTGTAGTGAATCGAAATGGTTAAACTATGTAGGACTCATTGGAGTAATCAAACTATGCGCAAAAGTGTGTCAATTGATTGGATATGTGGACGAATGATTTTAAGTGGGGGAGGATGTAAGGCCCTGTGAAATTTGTACTCAAGGCATAACATTTCGTCGAGTCAAAATTTCCGTATATGTGTTGAGAATATGTAATATTTTACTGATTTTGCACTTAAAAACCAAGAGTCAAAATTTTCCAGAAAATTGCCATTATGCGGTCCAGAATGTGATCGCAAATCAGTTATGCGGACTGCATTTCTGCCGCAGAGTGAAACAGAAAATTGTCAAAATTGATGTTGAAGATGCGGTCTATTATGCGATCGCATAACCAATATGCGGACCGAATAATCATCGCATAAATTCCTCAAGGATTTGTGGAGGTCAGTTCTGTGGTGCAAAATGCGACCGCATAACAGGAATGCGGACCGCATTCCTGTCGCAGACCCAAACAGACCCTTCAGAGTTTGGGGGCACTTCTGCGGTCCAATTTGCGGACCGCATTTCGATTCTGCGATCGCAGAATGCGACCGCAGATCTTGCTCGGGCTTCTATTTTTCTAAATTTTTAAAACCCGACCCCTTTGTAATAAAACACCCCAACCCCTCATTTTTAACATTCTTCTGAACAAAAATAAGAGAGAGGAAGAGAGAGTTCTTGAGAGAGAAAGCGATTTCCATCAATTTGGTTCTTCAAAACTATCCGGGCCGGGAAAATTCAAAGTAATTGTCCTCATCCCCATCCTTACAGGTAAAATCCCTAACCTTTTTGCTTGATTTTCAGGTTTAAGCTGGGGGGGGGGGAGTCTCATGCATTAATTCTTGAAAGTTATGGTTGAAATTGTGCATGCATGCCTATTAAAACCTAAAATCTAGTAGGAGTAATTGGGTGGGAGCAAAGACTTGTGCAAAGAAGGGGTTAATAACCTAAATATGTTCGGGTAGTGATTTTGAACCTTGAATTCTAAGTTATGTGTATTAATTTGTGCACTATATTGACGTTGCTAGATTATTTGGTGAATTGGAAGTAGAAATTAAAAAGGAATTTGTTACACCCCGTGTTATCGTATGTAAGAGTACATCATAAGTCAATTGATGTGAGCTCAGAAAGGGAATCATCTTTTAAAAGTTTACAAAGTTAGTTCATCATGTTAATGTGGAGGTTACAAATATTTAAGATCATTAGTACCAAGTAGCAAGAGGGTTTGAAGGCTTAGAAGCTAAACGAATTGAAGAAAATAAGTTTCGTCGAAAGTCGACAAGTTGGAATATTTTACCATGTACTTTTGGGGTGATACTAGGGTTATTAACATTATAACGAGATTATATTATGAGTTATTTTAGTCGTACGATAGTTGGTGTTATGTTTTGAAGTCAAGCGAGTTGTGGAACAAAAGTTGGAAAAGGTCATCACAAGTTCCATTTATAATTTGCTGACATTTAGGTCAAATGTAGATGCACTTTTCTTCCAATATACTTGGAATCAATGGCTGATCTACATATCAAATTGAAGATCTACGAGTCTAGTTTCCAATGCATTAAACCTTTCTTCGATACGACATCGGGGTAGAGAGATATTTGCAGTTTTGCAAGACTGCACAGACTGTATAGTTGGCAAGTAGGTGTGTCACTAAAGCTTTTTGAGCAATACATTTCGTGTATTATATGAGGTCTTTTTGGGACATATTATATATCAAATNAATTGTAAGTGATGCAACTGGAATAATTGTGATAGTAACATCTATGGCTTATCGTGGACAAGTATTGTTGTAACGTAAAACACTTGTGAATTGTTGAATATGACGGAAATAGTATTAAAGGTTATGGAGATACTTGTAAATTATTGTTGCTACTTCTTAAGAAGTGTTGTTGTGATCTTTGTGAATAGTTCATTGTTGTTGTTGTGATTGTTTGTGAAATGAAACTGTACGGTGGGATCGGGTTGCGCGCCGCAACACGAAGTAATAAGGTGTGGGTTGTGGTGATAAGGGTGGCCGAGGTAATAAGGGTGGAAAGTGATCGAAATCACTGTTGAAATGAAAATGTGAGCATAAATGCGAAATTTATTGATGTGGAAATGTGGAAGGGGAAACAGGAGAGTTTGTAAAACTTGTTTGGCTTGATTGTTCCTTCTTATGGATTTTATTGTTGTTTCTATTACTGTTACTTACTTGTCTATGGCTTGATGTTTACTTGGTGCAAAGTTTGTTCATACATACCAGTACAATCCCGGTGTACCGACGCCCCTTTTGCCGGGGGCGCTACATTCGTGTTATGATTGTAGGTGGATCCATAGCAGGTACTCCAGTCCACCGACCGTAGCTCCTCATCACTTTTCATCTGCTGAATTGGTGAGCCCCTTTCCTTTCGAGGCCCTGTGTGGCTTATGCCGCCTTCGTTTTGGGATCTTGTCTTGATATTTGTATAAGGTATAGCCGGAGCCTTGTTACCGGCAAGTACTGTATCATCCTTTTTTTCAATGTTAGAGGCTCCGTAGACAGAAAATGTGGGTCATGAACTAAAGTGATATGTATCTTGTACGTTGGGCTATGTAAAATGTAAACCACGCTAAGAGATCACGTACCGTGTGTATGCCTTGTAATAAAAAGGTGTTTTTAATTGTAAATGGTTATTTCTTTTGGCCAATAAGTAATGAAACAATGCGGGGTAACATGTGGGGTAGGAAAGGCATCCAGGTCCGCTTGACTGGGGCTACCCGGTCGAGCGCCATGTCCCTCGAATTTGGGGTGTGACACTTTTCCCCTTAGGATTGATATTGTGGAATTGAAATGCCTCGTACGTGAGGTGACGAGCGCGTACTTGTGCTAATTGTTGGAAATCTGGTTTTTCATTACGAATAGCCTTGAATTGTGTTCTTCTTTTCCTTGCTTACACTGTTTGGACATTAAACCTGCTGTAGCTTAGAGAAACATGTCTACTTGACTAAATTGCTCTATCTGTCGTAACTGCCTTAATTGTACTACGTGATTCATGCTAGGTTAGGATTACCTGCTTCACTTTGAGATAAAATTGAATGGATTGAATTATTGTAGTTGTTGTGTATTTACTTTGGGACTACGGGATGGTATCCCGGGAGGTTCCCCCCTGTATGTTTACTTTGGGACTACGGAATTGCATTCCGGGAGATCCCCCTGCACATTTATGAGTTGGACTACGGGACTGCACCCGGGAGATCCACTGGACATGATATTTATCTTTGGGGACTACATGACAGTATCCTGGGAGATCCCCGGTTGTTATCTCGGAGTTGAGTTATGTTCTTTTACTGTGTTTTACTTGTCTTTGTAATAGTTGTTGCTATCCCTTTATATCTTGTGTTATTTAATTACACTGTCATTTTACACTGTTGAACCTGTATCTTATTTAACCTCAGTAGGGCCCTGACCTTCCTCGTCACTACCCAACCGAGGTTAGGCTTGGCACTTACTGAGTACGCTGTGGTGTACTTATGCCCTTTCTGCGCATGTTTTTCATGTGCAGATCCAGGTACTTCTGCACTGGCTTACCATCCTTGAGGCAGGGAGAGCTTTTGGAGACTTCGAGGTACATCTGCCGCGTCCGCAGACCGAATAGTCTCCATCTTTATTCTATCTTGTAGTATTAGCCCTTCTATCATACTGTTGATGTAGAGAGTTAGAGCATTTTTACTATATCTCTCTCAGCTTGTGTTCCCGTGAGTTTCTGGGTTTTGGGATAGTATTGTAAAAGTTTGAGATATTGTGTTGTATGTGCCGAGTGGCATTTTATATTTCATTTCCATTTTGTTAAATCTTGGCTTTAAGTTATAATTTCTGCAAGGTTTCGATTGTTTTTCCGCACTTGTTAGGCTTACCTAGTCGTAGGGACTAGGTGCCGTCACGACAGTTCACGGAGGGCGAACTGGGGTCGTGACAAGTTGGTATCAGAGCTCTAGGTTCATAGGAGTCACGGAACACAAGCCGATTTATTAGAGTCTCGCTGATCGGTACGGAGACGTCTGTACTTATCTACGAGAGGCTATGTAACTGTTACGAAAGTTCCACTTCATTTGATTTCCTTGTCGTGCGAGGTTTTTGATATCACAGCTAAACTTCTGTCTTTCTACTCTCTCATAGATGGTGAGGACACGTGCTACTCGAGACGACCAGGCACCCGCGCCCCCTACTGGAGCCGTCAGAGGTCGGGGCTGGGGTAGAGGCCGAGGATGCGCTCGTGGTGCAGCCAGAGCACCCGCGCGAGCTGTTGCCGAGGTACCACCAGCAGTACCAGCCGGAGTCCAGACACCTGATACGTCTGCCACTACTACTCCAGCTCTCCAGGAGACTTTGGCACAGTTATGAGTATATACACCACTTTGGCTCAGGAAGGGTTGCTTCCCCTTGCTGCAGCCACATCCCAGGCCGTGGGAGGAGTACAGACTCCCGCCGCCCGCACTCCTGAGAAGCGAGTGCATGTTGAGCAGGCCCCAGAGGTTATACCTGCGCCGCCTGCAGTACCAGTTTATCCCGAGGATAGGGCAGCGGCTTCAGAGGATGAGCAGCGGAGACTTGAGAGGTTCAAGAAATATGATCCTCCTGTATTCAGTGGGTTAGCATCAGAGAATGCCTTGGGATTTCTGGAGGAGTGCTACCGTATTCTCCGCACTATGGGCATATCAGGATCGAGTGGGGTTTCCTTCACCACTTTCCAGCTTCGAGGAGCCGCCT